AAAAAAAAAAAAAAAAAAAAGTGGTGCTCACCGGGCGCCTGGGTGGCTCAGTCGGTTAAGTGTCTGACTCTTGATTTCTGCTCAGGTCATGATGCCATGGTTGGTGAGATCAAGCCCCACGTCAGGCTCTGCACTGACAGCACAGAGCATGCTTGGGATTCTCTCTCTCTCTCTCTCTCTCTCTCTCTCTCTGTCTCTCTTTCTCTCTTTCTCTCTCTCTCTGCCCCTCCCCTGCACATGCTCTCTCTCAAAATAAATAAGTAAAAATTAGGAAAAAAAGCGGTGCTGAAAATACCACTTTGGTACCACCTGTTTATGTGTTAATGAATGCACAGAAGATTACATAAAATATCTAAGTGGGGGGACATGTTTGAACCAGATGATTTACTTCTTGTTAGTTCCAGATTTTTTTAAACCAGTATTTCCTCTCACTTCCTACTGGAAATCATTTCCATTATTTTCTGCCTTGAACCAGAGCTCGTTTTTCTCTATTACACTTGTTTGCCCACATTCCAACAAATAACATGCTGTAACTGCCATGGTGCCATGGCAGGAAACAGACTTCGGCAGACATACTCGTGAAAACAGAATCAGGATTCATGGCTGTTTTTTTTTTTCTTCTTCTTCCTTGGCTTAATGAAGTTAGGATACAGTGAAAACAAAAACAGAGCTTCCCTGTACTTTCTCCTTGGGCTGGCTAGACAGCTTCCTCCAGTCAGAGCTCATTGTTTGGAATGTGTCATTCTGTACCTGTTTTAGTTCAGTAACATACAGCAAATGTGTATTGAGAGTTTATCCTGTGCCAAACACCATGCTAGGCAACAGGGGTACAAAGTCAAGGCCTTTGCCCTTAAGGAGTTCATAGACTGGGGGAGACAGAATCCTCAACAAAGATTATAATGTGACATGAGCTAGAGAAGTGTGTACACAGCATAGAGTGAGAAATGATCAGCTTTGCCCCGGGAGATCCAGGAAACCAGAAGGATAGCTAGGCCCTCACTCAGCAGGGGACGGGAACAAGGTTCTAAGAAATGCCAAGACTCAGAAAGGTTTGGAGAGGAAGTGTCCTGAGAAAAGGCTTGCTGTCATGTTGAGTAAAGCAAAAGGATTGCTTTTGAAAGAGCTTGAACAAAAAGTTAATTCATTGTTTTTCATTTGTCCTGTCTCAGATCTTTTGGAGGGCTTGGTAAGTTCCATTTGAAGGTTAAATTTAATGTCCTATAGACTGCTGGTTGAAAATGCAGCTTATACCTGCACCTGACTTGCTAGTTTTGGTTTGTTTTGTTTTTGATAATCAAGAAAGTTAAGGAAGAACTAGTATTTGAGAATACATTGGCAAGACTTCACCACCCTGAAGGATTTTTCATCATTTAAATGCAGAATCTGCCTGGTGGCCAACAATGGAGAAAGGAGTCACTGGTCAGGGAAACTTACCAGACTCTTTTTTTTTTTTTCTTTCTTTCTTTTTTAACATGGTTACCTTCCCACCCCTGTTGCTTGGCTTTTGGATTTTTTTTTTTTCACTGCCCCAGGCACCTGCTTTAATTCTTTTGATTGTGCGAACATCTGTAATATGTTGGAGGGGCTTTGAATCTTAAGAAAACTGGTTATGAGGGGTGCTTGGCTGGTTCAGTCGATAGAGTATGCAACTCTTGATCTCAGGGTTGTGAGTTTGAGCCCCTTTGGATGTAGAGATTATCGAAAACTAAAATCTTTAAAAAATAAGAATAAAGAAAACTGATTATGAATTATAAATCTTTCCTCTACACCCTTATCTCTAGATTCTCTTGCAAAATTTGGCCGCAGAAAGTATTCAGGAGTTGATCTGTGGTAATTGGCTGTGGAGGATGGCATGTTTAATTCCTGGGGGGCTGTCTTGTCTAAGATAAATTGTCTCTATCCTAACTAGGCCTTTGTGGAGGAGGTGGGAAGGCTGTCTTAACAAAAGGCCTCATTGTATTCATATTCTGTTTCCAATGAGGGACAAATACCTTTTTAAAGAAAACACATTTAATAAATTACCCTGGATGAAATCGTTATTCTCATTTTTGAACCTATGTATGAATTCTGTATTTCCTTGGGATTATTTGGAAACACTTTGTTTCAGTAGTCATGGTTAGCTTGTGAGGATTCTTAATGTGCCCTTGTGCCCTGATTTTTCCTTTTCCTATGAAATAGACCTAAGTATTTTCTTGTCTTAGAGTGAGCAGGAGAAACGGGAACGTCTGGAAACCCAAAGGGAGAAGCAGAAAGAACTTATACTGCAGCTCAAAACCCAGCTGGATGACCTGGAAACATTTGCCTATCAAGAGGGCAGTTACGACTCCCTGCCACAGTCCGTGGTCTTGGAAAGACAGCGGGTGAGCAGACACCAGAGAGGCGCCCACCACTACCTAAGGCTACCTTGTCCCTTCCTGTGTTCACAGGACATTCTTTCCTAGCTCGTTCACCCTTGGTCTTACTGAGAATCTCTTTGCTGGCCCAAATCAAAGGGAAATGGGACAAGTCTTCATTCACACATGGAAACACAAATTCCAAAGCTTTATAATATGTTAACTGAGCTCTTTTTGGTGGTTATACTAATAGTAGTGATATATAATAATAATCGTTTTGGGGCGCCCGTGTGGCTCAGTCGGTTGAGCGTCCAACTTCGGCTCAGGTCAGGATCTCGCAGTTTGTGAGTTCGAGCCCCGCCTCAGGCTCTGTGCTGACAGCTCAGAGCCTGGACCCTGTTTCAGATTCTGTGCCCCTCTCTCTGCCCCTTCCCTGCTCGTGCTCTGTCTCTCTCTGTCTCTCAAAAATGAATAAACGTTAAAAAAACAATTTTTTGGGGGGCGCCTGGGTGGCGCAGTCGGTTAAGC